GACGTTTTGAAAGCGTTTTACTTATGAATGACCTTCATTTGATCACTCAACTCTATGAATATGTGCTCGATTTTGTACTCAAATGTTTTCAGTGTGCTGAATGTGTTCACGTTCGAAAATCTGCCCCAAAGATATCGACTGTGGTTGAACACATTGCTGACATGGTCACCGAATTTCGTTGTATTTTCATTGTTGGCTTATCTGAGTGAAGATTGGCGCACTCTCGCAAGAGTGGTCAGTGCGGTCACATTACCTGCGATACTGCTACTAATGTGCGTTTTATCAATTGCAAACAATGCTTTCAGTTAATTACACTAACTCGTAGATTCCCTTAAAATTAGGAAAAATCAAGAATATTCTGCAGCTGATCGCAACAGTCAAATTTGCAGTGTGGTTAATAAATCATATCAATGATTGAATAAGACCTTTAGTGTGTGCGTGATATAGAATTAGATCAACAGTTGTTACGTGGTTATAGACTAAATCGCTATGATGTATAAGAAAGTTGATTCATAAGAAAGCAGAATTTCGCATTCAGATTTTCTCACGAAACACCATCATGGCTGATACAACACGGTCGTTTGAAAGATGCCGAAAATGTGATTTTGGTGATGAATAAATGGGCACGGAAAGAAACACGAAACAAGATCGATGTAGTCGAGTTACGCAGAGCAATACACATGCTTTTTTTAGTGAGTCTTCCTCTGAGATATCCTATCCTTATTGTTTCTAACAATTTCAAATAGACAAAAACAACAGAAGGTATTCGAGTCCTTTGAAAAGTTCTGCATATAACGGCGAGATATTATCGGTAACATACTCATTGAGAGATTAAAAACGAGTTGAAAACTATTTACTTTGGATTTGCATAATTTTAATGAGTATCCTATGCGCGGAAACATATGAAAGTATAGAAGATGCAGTATGGACGAGTATATCTGAATGATAAGGTTATGATACGGTAGTTGTGGTAGTTCAAAACTGTTTTGACACTTGTAAGCATACCGAACGTTTGTGAAACAACTGGTGAATTTTGTTTTTCGTACATTTGTGAATACTTTTGAAACAATACAAAACAAGAGGATTTCAGAAGAGTAATGGATACGCGAAGAAGGCGCAGAATTTCTACTTCTATCATTTGTTCACATCATCCAAACTGCTCAAATACGTTGTCACTCTTTCTTTCAGTTTGTAAGTTCCAATTACGTCCACTGAATCGCTCCTGATAAAGGATTCGTGATGATTTGAGTGCAGACTATACATTGTTGATATTGATTATTCATAATCTGCTGAACACAACCATTTGTTCACAACATTCACAAATCATCTGCAGAATACAGCAAGCAAAATCAATTGTTTGTCTACAAAAACGGTCGATTGAAAAGGCTATTCGTTTTTTTATCGAATGCAAATACGCATTCAAATTTATTTACGTAGTTTTAATGAGTATCGTAAGCACGTAGTTTGGTAGTTTAAGAAAATTTCATTTCAGGATAGTGACAAGTATCATAC